AAAATGTGGATTCAAATCATTCATATTTTCTATTATCATGGAGATTTGATGTTCCTGGTGTGGAATTTATTAAAAGTCTAAAATACTTGAAATTCTGCTTTTGAATACATTTTATTTTAAGGCTACAAATGGCTCTCCATGATGTTCAAGTCCAACTTAGAATTAATTTCTGCTTAGGATCTTTGTTTGAAACACCCCCATTTTGTTATAGGGGGTCATCATGGAGCTAATCAATCAAGATTATAGAAATGGGTAATTTTGCAAAGCCATTGTGTTGCACAAAGCAATCTTTCCATCAGTTGATGCCTATTGTTTTATGCAAAATTACATGTGCGGCAAACAAGGGATCGTGCAGTGAGGTGAAGAAAGCAACCAAAATGTTAATCATTGCATATGACTTTTGTATTAAAGCAAATGAAAATGAAGTATTTAGAAGTCAGTGGGTTTTAAAAAAATATTTAAAAAATCAGGAGGGTATACTTCTGGAAAACACTCTTTAATTTAAAAGCCTTTTATATATAGATATTCTACACAGTGTGAAGTTATTCAAGACCACTTTATTTCTTTCGATCACTAAAATTCCTCCGTTATATTTGCTCCTGAACTCCGTAAGATCCTTGACAATCAAATCAAATACAAAATGAAAGTGACAGCTGATCTCCTATAAGTATGGTTTGTTTGAAAGAAAACTTTTCAGATCATAGCCAAAGTTTTCAAAGACACCATATATCCCCTCCTACCATGTCTGTTTTTGAACCCTCCATTAATTCACATTATTGTGGACATGTTGGAATTTGCCCGATTCTGATTTTTTTCTTCCTGTCTCTTTCTTTACCCGCAGTGACTTCATCCATTTATTTGAAAATTGTTAGTGGCAGGCTAATATGCTGGCCAGGAATTTTTGTGTAATCCTAAACTTTGGCATTGGCATAGCTAGGCAGGGTACAGGGGATACATTACCCCCCCCCCCCCTCCATTAAGTGGCAAACAAGGTAAAAAGGGTAAAGAGAAAGAAAGAGAAGTAAAAGAAAACATGAGTCGAAGATAACACGCCCCTCCCCACCTTCCCTCCCTCTTTCTCCATTTTCTTGTTCTCTCTCATTTAATCCACCATGTGAGACTGTGTGCCCCCCCCCCCCCCCCCCACCCCCACCCCCTCTCCATGATGTCAATGCCCCCTATTGGCTTGTACCTTACTACACCACTGAACTGTGATGTATACGGATGATCATTTTCATCTTGCATAGCATTGACAGAAGAGACTCTCGCTCATATAATGATCTAAATGATTTAAAAACAAATTCGTGATGAGAGAGGGAAAAAGGAAAGATTTTAAAATATCTGATAAAAAGACACGTGCATATCACTATTCATTATCTTTATTAATCTTTATTACAAAAGGATAAAATATAGATAGATTCTGATTTTTATTGACAATATTATAAAGCTGTTTGATATAGCACTTCATTTTGTAAATCTGTGCTATAAAAGTAACCTACTTTCGTAGATTATTTCAAGTAAAATGGATAACAAATTATTTCAAGTACACAAAGAGAAGAAGAGGGAAACAAGTAACATTAATTAAAACTGGCATGTACCAGCATAACAATTCAATTTGATTCACAGAAATACTTCTATTTGGATATTGGGTGTAACCCTCTTGGATTACTGATACAGAAAAGGCACTTCACACACTCTTTCTCAGTTTCATTCTCATCATGTAAAAATCTTGGCAAACAGAATAAGGAAGTCCACTAACATTGCTACAAAAATGAAACTCTTTGTTTAGGGTGTGTCGAGTGTGTGCCCCTGCTTGCTCTAACAAAAGACTTTGCTTCATGAATCAACAAGTGCTTCTGTATTTCATTTTCCTTTTTTATTTGCATAAATGTACCAAAAAGAGAGAGCTTTCTAGATTACAGTGAGGATTGAGACAAACATTTACAGAAAGCAAACAGAAATGAAAGGGATGATAATCGGTTTAGACCCCAAGTCTCAGAAACAAAGTGACCTACACGAGGTGACTAAATATGGAAACCTGGAGGAACAACGTACTTTGTTGGAATCACAACTGATCAAATATTGCGAATCTGTTTACTTCGAGTCCAAAGATTATTCGCTTGATGAAGTGCTAAAAAAGCTTTTGAAAGCTGATAAGCTTTGTTGTCTGACCATGATAAGAAGCTCTTTAAAGATGCATTCATCATTTTAAATGCAGAAGAAAAGACACACAAATTAGGCCTGTCCTCATCAGCTTGAGATTGCCAAATAACCCGCTGTTTTAACTACCCCGATTGCAAATTATCCAGCTAATTTGCGTCTTCGTCAGCCTGCAGTTGCAATTAGCGGGATATTTAGTTCAAGATATTTTGCTCAGTGTTCGTGCATAAACTAGTGCGAGTCTTTTGGCTGGTGGAGACGCCAAAAACAAATAGCTAATTTGCGTCTTTATCAGCCTGCAGTTGCAATTAGCGGGATATTTAGTCGACATAATCATCCCAAGATATCTTGGGCTAGTTTGCAACATATCCTGCTATTTGTTTTTGGCGTCTCCACCAGCCAAAAGACTCGCACTATGCGCGAACACTGAGCAAAATATCTTGAGCTAATTTTTCAAGCTTGAGTTTTGAGTTTCGAACTGATGAAGACGCAATTTGTAACTTCGGGCTTATTTCCCAAATCAGAAATAGCAGGCTATCTGGCAATCTCGAGCTGATGAAGACATACCTAGTGTGGTTTGCAGCAAATGATAGCAAAATAATTAATTATATTTATTGTGGCATCGTGTAGAATGTATGCTCAGGAGCGTTTGAACAGATTTCTTTTTAGAATATGACAAGCAATTTGATCAATGGCTTCTAAAAAACCCATTTGATTTGAGTTCATAAGCAATTTGTTTTCTTTTAACAGTTCCAATATTAGTTGTCCTGATACCAATATACACACCTGTATGTTAATGTTATGAGTAGGTTTAGATATTAAAATATAAATGTTTGAGGAGTCGATCGAAGCAGTGTTTTTATTCAAGAGAAATTAAGGAACACTCAACCTTGAACAGGGTCATAAATTATCTCGCAAAAAACTCAGACAAGCGAAGTGATAAATCAGATTAATTTGACATTAGTTTGCAAAACGTTTCCACAATGATAGCATATCATAAAGTCAATACAGATTACCTGCATTTTATGGTTGGTGTTTTATAATACAGTGATAATATTTTTGTTATTTGTATTTTCCTACCTTGATAGAGAATGGTGTCTCTGGCTTTTTCTATGATCAGGAAATAACATATCTTTAATGTTCAATTTCTATGGATTTTAAATTAGTTTGTGCTAAAAGAGGCCTATAAGATGGCTACCCCCCCCCCCCTCAACCAAAAGAAAGAAAATAGATAAAACACCATACTCCAATATTTCCCCGCATTTATCTACATTATAATGAACTATCTTGCACATTATTTTAACCAATGTGATAGATGTTCAAGAATAAGAGATTTTGCATTCTATATTTTAAAAAAAAGGAAATTTGGGGGGTATTTTAATGTTTTTATTATAATCCCCCATGAAGTATGAAATTAAATTGCTATTTCAATTATTCTCCACTCTGCCTATTCAGAAAAGTTCAAATACCTTTAAAAAAAGAAATATTCATAAACGCTTTCTACAATGGTGTTTAGCTCTTGGATTAGAATAGAGGCCTATATATCGTTCCTGTTTTCACGAAGTGACGGTAGTGAGGAAAATCTGCACGCTAATTGTATGCGATTTTCATTCACTACCGTCACTTCGTGAAAATAGGGACGATATAGTAAGACACAATGATGAACACTTCAAAGTAGAAAGAGCAAATCAGTTGTTGAAATACAGGAATTATTGACAAGAATGTTCCACATAAATCATATACTGCAAATTATTGGACGGCTTTTATGAGTTGTAGATATGTTTATCTATTAATTAATTCTCATTGACTCTTTAATTCAAATAAAGGAAAGGAAGACTTGTTTGTCAGGACTGTATGTACAGCAGTTCAAAGTCCTTTATCAAATGTTGCAACCACAACACTCCAACATTTAAAAATAGAGACTCGCTCATCTAATTTGGTTTTTCAGACACTGCCATAGTAAGATTCTGGGCTTTATATAATGGACAAGAAATACTGCAGTCTTCTTATAATTTAGCTTCTACATCATTCGTGTCCTCTATGTGAATTTCTTTCTTTCTACAGGAATTTTGACCAATTAGACAAAGCTTGTCTCTAATGTAGCTTCTTTTCCAAAGAGTGATTACAAATATTTAAGAGAATAGTACTGCAGAAAAAGAAAAAAAATGCTAGGGCGACATTACATTTAAAAAACCTAAGTCTCCTTACTCATGTTGTATGTGCTGAGAGGAAGTGGAAGAGTAAGATAGATAAAGAGAAAGAATTTTATGAAGATGAAAATAGAGAGAGAGAGAGAGAGAGAGAGGGAGAGAGGGAGAGGGGGAGGGAGAGGGGGTGGAGAGAGAGAAAGAGAGGGGGTGGAGAGAGAGAGAGAGAGAAGGAGGAAGAGAGAGAGAGAGAGAGAGAGGGAGCTAGAGCAGGGGGAGACAGACAGAAAGAGATGTCGCACACAGAGAGACAGGCAGACAGATAGAGGAACAGTGACAGAGAGTCAGAGACCCAGAGAGACAAAACATAAAAGCCAGAGAATACACATACCGGTACAGATAAAACCTTAATTAATATATATATAAGAATCAGCTCCAAACAAAGACAAGGTTAATGACCACCTCAGAAGTACAAAGAAGACATTTCATTATGACTCAGACTCTTCACTTATTAATCAAATCCTTGTTTTTCTATCACCCAGATCTAAATACAAATGAAAGATAAGCTAGGCAACATTGATCTAAGTCTCCTAAATCATCAGACTTATCTCCTAGCTGTGCGCAACCCAAACCAAAGTCATGCAAATACGGGTGACCTCTCGAGTATATGATTTCATTTCTTTGTCACCCCAGTCCAGATTTCTGAGCTAGAGCCCCCGGCCGGAGCCACCAGATGACACCGCCCCCACCCCCCAGGGGATCGTCTAGGCTGGAATCATCCGACAGGTGAATAAAGTTTGGCTTAATGACTTGCACATTAGCTCATTATCAATTAGGCTGCTCACATTAATGAATGACAACCAGGACACGCCCAGTTCATTTGTTTCTATGTTGAGGATTATATTGTTATGAAAGTAGAACAGACAGGTACATTTGAAATGGGGAAGGATCGACAGACCAAAACGAAGATAGAAAGAGAAAAGTGAGCTTTATGACTGATAAGAAAAGAAAACAAGCAGTCGGAAATTATCAAGATGAAGCATGAAACCACTGAAATTGAATTTTTATTAATCATAACTATTCAATTCCTCTGTCATTTAGACTTTATTTGTTTAAATGCTCATATCAAATGTTATTACAAATTCTTCCAAAATTGGATCGTGGTCAGATCGTGTAGTGTGCACCAGGCTTTATACTGTATTACAGTTCCTCTGAAAGGTTTATATTAAAGGTATCGTTTAACAATGTTAAATCTGAGATGCATGGCCCTTGTTATCAATGTCTGTAATATGGTGTAATTGAAGCCCTAAAAAAATTGCACTTCAAAATTATCATGAAGTGCCTTAAAAAAAATAAAAATCTTTGAGTGACTGGTTTTACCATACTCATTTTCCCCAATAGACTGTTGTGTTATATAAACAAAAAATGAAATTTCAATTTCCAATCATAAATATCTTGATAGTCAGACAGGTGATTGGTTTGTAAAAGTCATGGGATTCCTAACTGACTTAAATGTTTATAATTATCATTGCAGCATGAGCTAAAACCGTGATTTTGTTTAGAATCTGAGACAAAGATACCCAATCCCTTTAAGGTCTACCGTAAGTAATCTTGTCATATGACATCATCTTCCATCACCTTCACTTATTTACCTGTGCTCACCTGTATGACACATCTATTAATGACCAACCACGGGTAGGATTACTTCGTCAAAAAGTCCTATTCTTAGAGGGTCGAAGATGTATGAGTAACCCCCCTTTCAGACGACCGAAATTCATCGTATAGCTATATGAAAGTTTAATAGCTATACGATAAGTTAAGTAATTTTTTTTTTTAGTTTGAACGTTGTTTACCATAACAAAATGCATGTTTGAGCACAAGTTTAAAAAAAAACTTTACAAAGGGTCCCGTTCTGATTTGCATTGTTTCATACAAAATCATGTATGAATTAAACGACATTTTTTCACACAATATTGTTATAGTCTGTATGCCCTTTTTGCTATAGATACGATTATTCTTCATACAACGTTTCTTTATGCACGTTTCCTTTTATCTGAACAGGCTATGACTATCCGCATCAGAAACAGTTTTTAGGGGGAAATCCCTTTTTATGAATAGCTTATGCTTGGACTATATAAGGGCTATTATAGTTGTGATATATCCTGTATGATCTATGATTCAAGATTATTCAATGAAAATAGGAAGTCATTAAATTAGGTAAAGAGGTCATATGAAGGTCCCTCCAGAACGTATGGCAAGGTCGTAAAATAAGAATAGTTTTTCAATTTCTTCATAAATTCTTATTCCTATCCAAGTTCAAGTTGTTTGTTAAGTCTTAAATCCCATGACATTGATTATAAGGTATAAGGGGATATATTGCTTAGGTATAATCTTTATCATGAAGCTATTCCTTGTGTGTGTTTTTTTTTGGGGGGGGGGGTGGTGGTGGCAATAATAATAATAATAATATCTGTAATACCTTTGTTTATCTTTCTGTTTGAAATGAAATAAATATGAATTGAATTGAATTGAATAAGGGGTTAAGAACTGAGAATTAAAACTTTTGCTGTTTTGTATCTTTTCAGTTCGGTCGTTCACAGAAGTCGTCATCCCTGATGTCTAGAGATCACCTTGATCAACTTGCATCTTCACTGAAATTCAAAGAATCAGGATAGGTCTTCTAGTTTCCTCTTCTCCCAGATTCGAGGCAGTTCTTCCAATCACACCCGCTGGGCTTCCAATCATACTTACTCCTCTGCAGTGATGCAGGACTACTCTTATGGTCATTAAGAAATTTATCCATGAGAGATTCTAGACTTACTTCTGGTCCATCTCTTAAGCCTCGTAACATAACTTTTGTTTGTAGGATTGTTTCTTTGTGTGTTTGAAGAGGATTCATTTAATTTGGTCACCTAATTCAACGATAAAGAATTTATATGTTCATATTCTAAACACTTGTGAGCAAGATATTTATTAAATGATGTTCATATGCAACTCATTCAGTTAGATTTCTTTTTCTTTTTCAGGCCAATTATGTAACTGAAGTTCAGAGATTAATGTAAATAGCAAAGTTTTTAGTTGTACATGTTAATTATTTGTTGGAGGGATATAGTTCAACCTTTTCTAACTATGCATTACCTGTATATTTTGTTTACTTTGTGACTTCCATGATAGTTTAGCCAAATGCTGTTTGACTTTCATTATTCATAAATGATGTAGAGAATGGGAAATTGTGCATGGTATCTTTTTACCCATCAGTATCAATGTGACTCAGTTCCAAGTATTTTTTTTAACCATGAATTGCTGAACATATGTGTTATGGTTTTCAAATTATGTTTTGTTTTCACCGACAGAAGTTAGAATATTGATTAATAACATGTGTATTCATTACGATATGGTGACGAAGAAGCGACTCGAGCTGATGAAGACAGGCCTATAGAATGTGACCAATCTTTAAAGGTAAAGACCAGTATTGCAAACGCCCCAATTTCAATAAATGAAATGGAAGCTCTTATTACCAATCATGTGAAAGAATATGTTTTGACTAATACATGATGATAAAAATTTTGCCGGGAATCCGCCTACTAATTGATATATTTGGTAAATTAGTATATCTACATGGTCTGTGAGAGATAAACACACGTGTCGTGCACATGTGCGTATAGTCCCATATACATCTTTCTGTGTACAGTGCTTGTAACTTTACGAAGACTGGGCCAAATTTCTTATCATTTTGATGATTCCAGAACCTTGCAGTACACACCAATACTTATATGCTAGATGATCAACCTTTTCTGATCGATTCCACAACGTTTCTTTCACAATGCAATCACATGACCATAACTGGTCTTTACCTTTAACAGCAGTTACTCTAGAAAGAAGATTTGATGATGGAAGTAGCCAAGAGACTATATTTTAGCTATACATATTTAATTGTTATTATTGTATTAGCAGTATTTAATCTTCCGGTAAACAGGACTAAATGTATATAACATTTTGTTTCTTTTTATATGAATGTAACATAACTATATTTATGATGTGAATTTCATTTTCATTTCTTGGTTGAATTTTGGTATTAAAACAATTTCATGTCAATGAATAGTAACTTTCAAAAGTGTGAGTTTTCAGCATTTTGGGTTTCTTTCCTAAGGTCCGACACGTGATGTTACTTTGAAATTTACCTTCTCTGGAAATAGCCATTATGAAATATATAATTATTTATCTAAAACATACATAGGTACCATTTAACATACAAATACACGGTTAGAAAATTCAAAACTCAATCATATTATCAAAGATTTAACTCTGAAAACAGTGAATGATATTTCTCCCTGTGCATTTCTCTCTTTACATACAGGCAATTTTTTAAAATGCAAAACATTCTCTTTATTGCCTTATTGTTCATTATTTTGCTTGATGTTTCTTTCTTTTGGACCTTTCAAATTTGCAAAATCCAACTGGAAAGAAGACTTTCTGAGGATGTCAATAAACAGAAACAAACAATCTAGGATATTGGAGTTTGAATGATGCAAGTCAATGAAAATGCACTTTATTAATACTAGGATCCAAAAATTTATATACACAACATTTTTCTTCAGGTCAGCAATACACCTTCACAACAATCTATCAAAATTGATATTTTAAGCCCCCCCCCCCCTAAATGTATGCTGTCTGAGACTTTAATTAACAGAAACCGACCACCCTGGTATTAAGTCTTTACACAAACTACAAAAAGTTAAAGTGAAACTATGTAAAATGTGCTCTGCATCATTACATATATTTCGTAGTAGAGCGTAAATCACTGACTTGTACGGATTCTTTGCCTTTCTTTAGGTAACTGATTACCCCAAAACAGAAACATGGATTACACCAAATCTGTTCTGCAGCAAATTTTGTGGAACTGTAAAAACAGTGGACTTGTGTCATGTTGGTTTCTTTCTTAAAACACAAGACTATTTTCATTTTACAAACATAACAGAAACAACAATCTGAACACAAGAAAAATAGATATACGCATCGGCTTCAATCAACATTTGAAATGTGTTCAATATCTGACCGAACTAATTCATTATAAGATATAAGAATGAATGTCTAGCATATCCCCAGAAGATAAAGCAATATATGTATCTTTACATGACCTGTAACTAAAACATTTTGGGTGTCATTTTCTCATCAACATGGACACAGCCCTTTAAATCCCACGGCAGAAAAGAGCAAATCGTTGTGATCTATAAAAGCGCTAGAATCTTCAATAATCTTTCAACAACTTTATTAAAAATGATACATGGTTAACAATCACTTTTCATGGTGTATCCATGTAATTTAAATTTCAAATTTTGATGATGAAATACAAGAACAGTGCATGATCTTATTTGTTCATCAGTAAATATACAAACATACAGCTCCCTCCTCCGAGCAATTCAATCAATTATCTTAGATGACTTTAGTAAAGTAGCGCTGGAATGAGAATACACAAGTACTAGTGATAAGCAAGTCACTACAATCATATAAAAATAATTTTACAATTATCGAGTAAAGAAAAATGTCTAAGCTAATTATACAAGGTAGTACAACATTATTGGCAATCAACTACATTGATTAGAAAAAGGCTTGAAAAAAAAACCCAAAGCTCATTGAATTCATATTTACAGATACACAATATTATTTCATAGTTGCCTATAACGAAGAAAGATACTCAGTTGACCTCATTCACTCACAAGAAAATTGGCAACGTACAGTTTATAGCCAGCATAATAAATGTTTGCTGATAGTATGCAGATTGTATTTGATCCATCCACAAACATACCTGTGCAGAAGATGTTGCTGCTGATGAGAGCATATATCCCCATATTTGCTTTACCTAGAAATAGCCTACGTAACAGATAGAGACTGTAGTATGAAGAAGGCAATTTATCTTTATCACGTGCACAAGTGTATAATGTCTACTGTTATCTACACACTGGGGAGATTCAGACATTTTTTTATTCTAATAATTTTTTTAAAGGATAAAGATGGTCTCCAAAATGAAACAAATTGTACCAAAGCACAAAAAGTATTGTTTTTTGTGATAAAATGTAGCCAAACCGTTTGATTCAACAAAGCAGCGTGTAATACTCGACTTGAAAGAGAACAGCTGTATGTTGGCCAGCTTTTATAACTGTATGATACACGGCACAAATTTGGAAGCTTTTCCAGCATTTAATTGAAAAGAGCAGCAGTTTCTACCTTACCAAGTAGCCCCAAAGAAAAACTGTAGCATGAGACAATCAAGAACCCCCTAACTCATTCAATATTACAAAAAAACTTGGCTTCCTTTTTATACACATGTATAATTTCTTACATTGAAACAAGAGTTAGTGGTAATAAAAATAGGAAATGATACAATGAATCTCTTTTCAAAATCCTCCTCTTTTCCATTACAATGAATAACATATTCCAAGCAAATATCCGTCTGTATAGAGTAGCATACGGATAACGTATTAGCTTGGCAGATTGATGGAGGCTTCACATTAGACTTCATATAGAACACTAGATTTCAATTCTGGGCACTGTTCTTATGATAAAATAATCCTGCAAGAAACTCTGTTTTACTGTGTAGTAACAGATACCAGTACGTCCTGTTGGTGTGTTTAATGTGATGTGTATGAACGTAGCTTATAGGTTGTAGAACTTGAGACTTCTATCCATGCTGGAGGATGCCAAGAATGATGAGTGCTGTCCAAAACGTACTCCAGTCGTCATGCTGGTGTGATCTGCAACACAAAAATGAATAAGTGGGACATGGTTATAATGCTTATGTTGATATGATATACAACACAAAAGTGAATGGATGGGACATGGTTATAATGCTTATATTGGAATGATATACAACATAAAAATAAATGGGTGGGACATGGTTATAATGCTTATATCAGTATGATATACAACACAACAATGAGGAGACGGGACATGGTTATAATTATCCTTGTACTGATACATACTACATCAGAATAACATACTTATGACGGCATTACTTCCACCTATAGCAAGATATAACGTGAACAATCTTCAGCTGACTAATTTGTCCATATTAGCCAAGGTTTAAACCTAGTCATAAGTCAGTCTTCTTTAGAAAATACAGGCTCCATTGACAAACCATTGTCAATTATAATGAGTAATAACACAAAAATAAATGGATGGCACATGGTTATAATGCTTATGTTAATATGATATATAACCCAAAAATGAATGGATGGGGCATGGTAGACTATGGAGACTGTACTCAGCGGGTTCAATTCTATAGCTGCTATTCACACAGGCCAAGTTAGGCTAGGCTAATGGCTTTATGGAACTGTTTAAAGTGCCTGCAGACCACCCTCTCCCCTCCCCCCCCCCCCCTCCCCCAAAACCCAGGCTTTATTTTAGTTTGAAGCCAGTGTGTCATACATACCTGTAAAGACAGCCAGCTCCTGCCACTGTTTGCAGAGGAACACTCGTAGATCAGTGCCTGCTACGGCTAGGTACGAACCGCTCTGGTCGAAGGTCAATGATTTGATCTTAAGATGGAAGAGAAATAAAAAAAAATATAAAAAATTGAGAAACATGTATCGACAGGGACCAAGTGCACTTGAACCCTCAAATTTCCATTCAAACCTTGTTTGAAAAAGAGGAGTTTGTAGCACCCTTTTAGGAAGAGTAATTGTCTTGTATATAATGCTGATTATTATTTATGAACTGACTGCACTGATACGCTTATTGATTCTCATATATACAGCTTCCTTTAGCCAACTTTCATGAGAGACAATATCATAAGAAAGTTTCGAGCAGAATTATTCAAATAAGACGAGGGGGAAAAGCATTCGGTTAACTCTGGTAAAATTGCGAAGGCCAGATTATTATTATTTATATACTGTGCTTTTCCCAGATCAATAAGTAGAATTAAATATCCATCATCTACATAGACTGAACAAAACAGTTAGCATCTAAAATTTCCCAATATCATTTAAAATAATTTCAAGGTAAATTGCACCAAACTAACTAACAAAAGATATAAGTGGAGGTGCGCCTTACAAGCGACCACTCTTATGTGCTCTCTCGTTTTCTGTGAAATTTTGTGTCTTTTGTGATCTTTATGATTTGATATTTACACCAGTGGAGAAGTTTATACCTGGAACCTATTTGCGCTTAGAGTCTTCCATGGTAAGCGCTTTATAAGTAACGTTTTATTATTATTATTATAGCCCGCATCAAAAGTAGTACCAGTAAGATTAACCGATTTCCAAACGGAATGGCACTCGACATCTTCATGGAAGGATGCGTATCAACTTGACACGGAAAGACGAGATCAAACCACAAACCACTCCAAATGATTGATGAGATTCATTGTCAATCTTCACACGTAGGTACATGATGCTATAAACCTTCCCCTTCAAAATGCCAGGCAAAATGAAATAACATACACTCATACTAAGCCACACAGAGGGGACCAACACTAGACTGACAACAACACACAAAACAAAAATCAAACTTGTATAAAAATGCAATAAATAAATATTTAAAAAATAATTAGTCCAAAGTCTCAAATAACTCTAATTATTCTATTCATCTTTGGAATATGGGGAGCGGTTCAACAGAAATCCTTATAATGTAACAGAGCTATCAGGCAATTCTTCTAAATAGGGATAATAAGAAAATTGCTAACTTTTTTAGTTCACCTTTACCAGAATTCAACCTTCTATTAAAAATCAAACTAAATTTTTCTTGGAATTTAAATATATATTTTCAAAAAAATATATCCTTCCATTTCTGTCTATCTAATAAACAGAAAATAGGTATACAATGTAATGAATAATCCAGAAGTTTAAATATACTGCTACTGAATATGAATATTCATAAATATTTGCATTATTAATGTCTTTCCAGCTGGAAAGGCTCTTCCCACAGCTTTCGACAAACGGGGCGTTTTACAAAGCCTTTTTTCAATGACAAATGACAAAAATCAGTGACAAATCTCCTGATAATCAATCAGAAGCAAGGATTTCAGTAGCTTATAATGAAAACTGCCGTTTGTCGCTAATGACAAGTTTGGTCAAACAAACCAATCATGAACACCAACCTCGTAGTTGTCATCTAGGGTGATGTTCTTGAAGTTCTTCAGCTTGCGCAGATCCCAGAGTTTGACGATTGCATCGTCGGCTGCCGTGGCCAGGTAGTATCCGTTCTCGGAGAAGGCCAGAGCGGTGACGGGACCGGAGTGGCCGGGGAAATTGGCCACGTTGGTACACTCCTTGAGATCCCAGATCTTGATGACGCTGTCGGCGGTTCCGGTTCCAAAGATGAGACCGTCAGGATGGAACTGGGCACAGGTCAGAGCTGGAAGATGAGCAGAATACAGTCAACCTCAACATAACTATCATGATTGTACGACAATTTAAATGCGCTTGGGAGAATTGCTCTGCAGTTAATTTCTAACACAAACAGGGAAATGTTTTACAAAGACTAAGATGGACTTTAAGTTGGACTTAAATATGGCAGACTGTTCATGCTCTCGTTTGCTTTCGCCATTCGTCTATCAAGGGACGTACAAACCATGGTCGCAAATCTACAGAATTTACATATTTTGATAATTCATTATTGAAGTAAAAAATATTATCTAAAGATCATAATGGTGAGAGCAAAGTACTCTGCAAACAGTGGCATGACGGCCTGCCATAGTTGATCTTAGTCTTTGTGAAACACTCCCCTGAATTTCTTACTTTAATTCTGGACCAAACACTACACTTATAACCCTATCACTCGCTGTCACGGTATCCCCAATTCTAAAATCTTCTCAAAAAACTCTTTCACTACCCAAGCCCCAACTACATACCTCTGTTGAAATAAAAGAAAATTGTCAAAATTGCTATCTTCTTCAAGGAAAATAAAAGTTATGTTTATACGATGGAACACATGACCCTGAAAATGAAAATATCACAACTACAAATATATTTGCGTAGGAATTAGATCCCATATCACCATTCATAAAATCTTGCTCCCTATTCTCTTCTGATCGATTTTTCAATAAGCATTTACAAAAATTGAAAACTTTATAAAGAATTTGACCCTCTTCATCATTAAATTAAATTATTATTGTATATTCTCGAACGAGAATTATGAAGTAAAATACATACAACTCCAACCGAAAAACAAGGCAATATTCCCAGCAATTTAATCCCCATCTTACCATGGCCGACAGAATCATCGGAGACTTTGGTGAGGACGCGTCCCGTCGTTATGTCAGAGAAGGCCCAGTGACGATCCTCGGAGCAGCTAAGGAGGAAGTCTCCGGTGGCGTGGAGGCTGAGACCGGTTACAGCGGCATCGTGAGCACGTACCACCTGGGAGCAGGAGCCATTCTGGGTGAGCCAGATACGGATGGTGGCGTCGGGCGAAGAAGTGAACACCACATCCTGCGAGGAGATAGAAAATAGATTGGTTGATTGAAAATATATGAACTTGAAGAAAACCAAGTTTTAAGCGGGACTGCACTACTTGTGCCCTCTATATAGCAAACAATTCCTAAGCATTACTCGTTGGTTCTCCATGGTCCTCTCTTTTTTATGTTAATAATAATAATCATAATAATAAGGTAATTTTTATATAGCGCATAATAATAAATTCTCTATGCGCGTTACAACAATCAATTATACAATAAATTACATGATTAATCTAAAGATTTAATTATGCATGATTCGATTAGATATACAGGGAGGTCTAATCCCTCCTGGCTTAACTAGTGCAGATAGGCTTTAGATTCCATTTTAAAAGAAAATATATTCATATCCAACTATTCTCCTAAAATCATGCAGTCTATGAATTATATTGAATCATAAAACTAACAGACTTATCAATCATATTTAATAATATGTCACACAAGCTAGGCTACAAGATTAGTTTTCTCTCTGCCGAAATACGACATATATGCAAACGTATGGTGCTGTAGCTTGCCCACAGAAAGTACAGATCTAAAGAGGATCTAATTCTAATTAGCTAATTTTAATGATCACAGGACTCACACAAAAAAAGAGTAAACTCTGTCATAGGAGGGGAAGGGGAGAGACAAGAAGCACATTCTTTCGTTTCTTTCAAACTGTTTCTCAATTTTAATTTTTGTTGTTGTTAAAATCGTACCTCTGTAGGATGGTAGATGACATTGTTGACCTTCTTTGTGTGACCTTTCAAGATGGCCGTCACTTGCTCCGTATCCTTGTTGAACACAACAGCATTTCTGTCAGCTCCTCCTACAAGGAAACAAAATGGTTCGAAATCGGTAGTCAACACAATCTCAGCGTGTCCACACACAAAACAAGTTATCCCGAAACTCTATAACGAAACGTCGTATAAAGAATCATCGTATAAATTTCAGAGTGTCCACACACAAGAAAAAGTTGTATAAATAATCATCGTATAAATTCCAGGATGTCCACACACAGAAGAAAGTAATCCTGAAACTCTACAGCAAAATGTTGTATAGGTGCGCAGTTTGCTACGGCGGTCATGAAATGGAAGCGGAAATGACAGGTCTGGTCTCCTTTCGCTCGAGGTCACGTTAAGCCCCGCCCAGTTAGTTACACTAGTTACACTAGTTACGTCCACACACAACACCTTCCGTGATTAGGCATGATTCTTTATTGAGTTCTAGTTCGAAACGATGCCCAAACCTGCATTTCGTTATACGACGTAACGTTAGTGAGCGTCCACACACACCATTTCATCATAAAACTATCGCAAAACTGTATACCTATCGCGAAACGATATAGCTAATCACGCCTAATCACTGAAAATGTTGTGTGTGGACAGGGGGTCTATCATCGTAGAGCATAGTATGTGTATAGAATGAAAAGATAGGTGAAGACATTTTGTGAAGTTTTATATAGCAAAGCTGGAGGAGTATTATTCTAGTTCAGCAAATCAATTTGAGTGTTTACAAGAAATGATGGAAGTAAATTGGATTAAAATCTACCAATCACTTTAACATTTTTGCTCTTGATTAAAGGATATATGTTGCTATGATGTGTTTAAATTTTGAGCTTCAAATATTATTTCTACAAAGCAATATTGTAGTTAAAATATACTCTCAGTAAACAAGCAAATGACTTGTTGGGTAGACTAGTTGACACACACACACGTACATCTCGCATTATTACACGGAACTCAAATCGGAGATGGGTTTCTTAAGAGCCATTTCATATTATCCCTCATTTTCTTCAAACACCTTAACTGCTAACCTATAGAATGCTATATAAAGTTTTTGAAAGTTGATTTTAGCTATACACAAATTTATTTGTGTAGGTGATTGTTTTTGTCACACTCAATGGGCTCTATTGATGGACCAGAACTGAATTAGACAATAATATTCACTTTTATATACTACATAAGACAAAACTAGATGAAAATGGCTGTTAAAAAAGCTAACTACAGGAAACATTTGCGATCAGTTTTGTATTACTAGCGTTTGCCGTTAGTTTTTATCATCATCACTTACCTGTGAGAACCTTGGATGTATCAGATGCCTGTAAATCAAGCGCCAAAATACCAGGAATACTGGCACTGTGCAGACCCTATGTAGAAATGAGAAGTACAAAATTATTATGCATCAAGCTACACTCTGGTAACTTACTAAAAATATTTAACAGAGTAAAATATGCCTCTTGAATGTAAACACAGATCTATGGAACTTCTTGAAAGCACATTTTGTTAATACAAAAATGTGACTTTATTTAACAATCCTTAGAACTTTGTTTTAACATTTACTTTTGAATATATTATCAAATACTCCAAAAAGGAAGATTCCTAGTATACAAAAAGATCTTTAGTCAAATGATATCACTTGCTAAGATGATATAAAGGGGAGGATATACAGTATAATGCAAGATGAACAATTTCAATATGTATATTTTTAAATTTAGGCATTTAAAATATAAAGATGTCACTTAATACCTTATGAATGGTAGGGTAAAATGAAAATGGGATTAACAATTTCCGGCAGTAGATCTGCAAGTGACATTTCTAAACAGTACTATTGAACTTGTGATTATCTATTTCATGAATGAAAGGGGGGGGGGGGGTGGGGAAACAAAACTATCAGTATAATTTTTATGTCAACAATGATTCAAATGCTTTACAAAGCAAAAATTTATTTCATTCCTTGTTATGCCAATAATGATGCTTTTGTGATTATGTAAGTTTGATTTGTATTATTGTGTCTTTGAATGTAAATTATATATACTTAATAAATCCTTTGATGAGGCAAAGAAAAGAAACAAAATCTATTTCAAGAATGAAAAATAACTCACTGGATGAGAAGCTCTTGGTCTGTAGTTCCTGATATCTTCAGATGGAGCCAGTTCATCCGGAACCTTCTTACCACGCTTCTTACGCTCTGCGGTGAGCACGTTGGCACGCTCTTGCAACTGGAAGTGAGGAAATTCAAACATCCAGGAAAATTATATTACTGAATTATGATGTAATGTAATGATATATAAATTAAAGCACTTCTTCCACTCAACATTGAATATTTAAACTTGGCAAGCTTTTGCAACTGTTAGGAAATGTAATACCCAGGACAATAATATGACACAAACGTAAATCTGATTAATATATAAATTAAAACGCTTCTTCCACTCAGCAGTGAGTACATTGGCAAGCTCTTCCAACTGTTAGGAAACGTAATTACAATGATGTGAATAAAGCCAAATAGGGCTTGAGAAAATACAATCATATTTTAAAGGGCACAACTTAACAAGCCTCAATATATCTAATGCCTCAGTCACACCTTTGCGTATTTGGCTTGCGTATTGCTGCGTATTTATGGCAAGCCGTTTTAACATTTATTCCTATTTCTTGTAAAGCAATGGTAATTCTTGATATCAAAAATTCATTTCTTAGTATTAGGTACACCTCGAGTTTTATTTCAGTAATCCTGCAAGATGCACACAAATATGCAATGCAATGATTCTTATGCCAGGCTCTGAGTACATCTACACAACCATGAACTCCTGTAAGTGGGTTGATAAAGAATAAATGACACAAAAATAATAAATCTGTTTTGAGGAAATGTTATAAGGGCACAAATTAAAGAGATCCGGTAACTTTGTCTCAGATTCTGAAAAAAAATTCTGGATTTAGCTCATGATGCAATGATAATTATAATCCTTTAGGTCAGTCAGGAACCCCATGACTTTTACAAGCCGATCGCCTGCCTGATTATCAAGATATTTATGATTGGAATTACAAATTTTGAAAACCGTTCGCCTGACGGTTTTCATAACACTACAGTCTATTGGGGAAAACGAGTATGGTAAAACCGGTCACTCAAAGATTTTTACTTTTTTGAGGCACTTCTTGATCATTTTGAAGCGCAATTTTTTTAGGGCTTCAATATTACACCATATTACAGACACTGATAACACGCAGGGCCGTGTATCTCAGATTTAACATTGTTAAACGATCCCTTTAAAGAGGTGTCTTAGGCAATGTAAATCCAGCAGGAACAATACAACTGAAAGAAGTGCAATAAGATATTTTTAAAAGATGGGAGTCTGCAATATGATAAAATTATTTTCTTAATGGAGATATATCAGTATAATTATATTATAATCATTTTTCATGGTTAAAAAAACAATGAAAGCAAAATCATCCATAATTTTCCACTCCATTGATTTACATCAATTTTACTGATATTAGTATCCAAACTATTATAGTGCAGAAATGTCCTTATCATCTTCAAGGAATCAAAAGGAAATCTTATTCCTAATTTCAAGATTTCAAATTTATTCATGTTTCCCTGATTACATATCAATTATAAGCATTTAAAACAAATTTAAGAAATACATGTTGGAAACAGAGGGGTCGACTAAAAAGCAATGCTTGTACAAGTGTGAACACCTCAAATGAAACTTAGGAATAATGAGTAATTAAATTAACTAATCTGTAACTACAAAAAGGAACTACAAAATAGAGGAAAGAAAAAGGGGTTGCCAACAGAGACGAGAAAGGGACAAGACAATACTTTACACGACAGGTGACACATTATTGCAATTACCATATACTCAGTAGATCATTACAGGATGAATATTCAAATTTCTGACCAGTTTTAAACTCTGCGTAATCACAGAAAGAGCATGGGGCCATTTTTGATCTAGAAACCCTATGACTTTGACCAATGAGAAAAACTAGTAGGAAACAACAGTTGCTTGTTTGCAGTGGATTTACATGACAAAATATTAATGATACTTTATACCACATCACAGATACAAGCCTACTACCCATATGAAATGTTTTCAACTTCTGGATATTCACTGAAAGAATGGGGAGATGTTTTCAGATCTAGCAACCCTATAACTTTGACCAAGCAATGGGGAATAAAATTGGCAATCTTTAGGACTTGTTATACCTTCTGTAGGATTAGTTAAGGAAAGAAAAATCAAATACTTTGGTCATGTTAAAAGGCACCAAATTCTCTTAAAGGATGTATTGGAGGGAAGAGTGGAAGGAACTAGACCGAGAGGGAGACCCAGAATCAACTGGGCAGAGAATGTTAAGAACTGGAGTGGACTAAAACTGCAAGAGTGCACCAGAAAGGCAGAAGATAGAGTGAAGTGGAGAGATGTTGCAATCAACCTCTGAACAGGGAGAAGATACTTAGATAGATAGATATACCTTTTGTATGATATCCTCAGTCATGCCCATAGGACCGGCTTCAGCAGCCTCCATTGGCTCTGGTACGGAGCTGGGTTGGACAGCCACAGCAGCGGGCATGGCTGCACCCGGTGCGATGCCTGGTGCTGCTTGGGGCTTCAGTGTAGCCAAGGCTGGAATCATAAGGTGTAAAAGGATAAACATGGAAGTTGTGGATGTTGTTCAACAAGTTTATCAATCTTTTTATATATGGGTCATTCCATGGGGTTGGAGCAAAAAATATGACGATGTCCATGTAATGTTGGTATAACATCTTCTACTACACATGGAATATGAATTCATCTGTTGAAGATTTGTATGCAATGAATGTATATGGCAATGCCCTGCCAGAATCATTCTTGTTACAGTTGCTTCTCTTCAAAATCTTTGCTTGATACACATTTCTCTTTTTACCAACATTACATCAACATCATATTCATAGAACATTACATAAACTTTGGGTCTATAAAATTGATTAACCATGAAGCTTGAGTACTTTTAAACATAGTTGGCTATGCTTTTTTGCTAAACTCAAATTTAGCAAACGTTGTTACAGTTGATAAGAGACATAGTTTCTCACTTTTGGTATGGCACAAAAATTGTCCCAACCCCATAGAACGACCCATATTTCTTAAAAAGATGACAATATCAACATCCACAATACAATTTGTTCATACCCTTAAAGACTATGACAATGCCCTGCTCTTTATGTAAATTCAACTCTGATACAACCGACCAACTGACTCACCGAGTTAAAATAAGACCATGGATGCAGTTCACATGAGCTTTCATGGAATTGTCATTGTAAAATTAAGATTTTCTAGCGGCGATATTTTTTAAAGACCTACATGTATCCTAATGTGATCTTACCACAGCTTTTTCAAAGCTAAGTACAGCTACACTGTTCTTCATTCCTGTGAATTATTCCATAAGATGTATTTCTTTGATATAATATGGTATAAATCAGTGAAAAGAATTACATTAGTTCAACAAAGAGGGAAAGAATCCAGCACTTGTATGCTTACATTTAGGTTTCTATCACAAAATGATCAAAATTAAAATGCAGAGGTGGGAAATCAATCTCTACCACCCACACCATACCTTCACGGGCAGCAGTCACCTCTTTGGTGAGCCTAGCAATGACACGGCACGCTGCGTCATGCTGATAGAGGGCGTGAGAGAGCTCCTGACGAGCCGTCTGAAGCTGCTGACGGAGCGTGAAACTGTGCAGCATGCAGGCGTCCCACTCGTCCTGGAGGAGCTTCAGGATCGCTGGAATGCTGGTTGCCGTCGGTGGCCGTGGCTTCACCAATGGATTCACTGTTAGAATGGAAAGTATATTAAATTGATGATGAAAATAAACGAGACATTGATAATATCGTAGACAAAATACATTAGATATCAAAGCAACATAAAACTAATTTACGGCTCTCATTACCTAGTTGATAGACTATCTACAGAATATGCATTTCTATTTGATTCTTGAAAATGTAAACGAGAGATCTTTAAATCTACTCAACCAAAATCTAGGATCATTTGGACCTTGCTACCATAAAACACTGTTACAATGACAAATTAAATCTTGATAACTTGATGTTTTACATCTTAACATATTAACTTATCATGAACATCAGAACATGCAGGGTATGAATAAATGAAATATCATGAAGGAAACTTGTGAAGCACAGACTGAATAAGTTTGTATGTGACATCATCACAAGAAATATAAAGTAGTTAATATCGAGAACTCCCTTTTCCTCATATTCTAAAAAGGAAACGATATACAGCTTCATGTGTTACTTAGACAGAGGTGAGAGATGACATCACTTGCTAAATCTTTTCTTCTTTTTTTCACGAGGCAGCGATCTATTTCCAGCCTAACCACTCACGATGGAGGTCTCCTGCGTTCTGAAATTTATCTCTTTAGTTAAATGAAAAATATATACAAATACATGTATCTGTTATACTTGTTTGTATGCTTTGTATTATGGTTATTCTATAATATTATTAGACATGATTTGCTATGTATGTAATACTTATGTAAAATGTATAACCTTGTATTTGTTCTTTGAGCGCAGAAATGAAATCGATCAAACAAACAAACTAGGACTGACCTTTGATCTCGATCAGCTGATCTTCAGAGAGAGGTTCTCCATTGACAGGATCACTGCCATTCTCCGAGATGAACTTCTCTATGAGCCGCTTCTCAAAGACTCGCCCTGATGCTGGCGACACGACAGGAACCTCTGGCAACTCATTGGAAACTAAAGATAAGCAAGAGAAAAACAAAAGATATCAAAATGACCTGTTGTATTACTGCATCGGAATTCAACCTTATAAATGTATACTGTATATTACAAGTACAATGCAGAGAGTCTTCAGGCCGACTTCATCAGCTTCGAGTTTGCCAAATAACCCATTATTTTCAGACTCTTGATATTTTCCCGGAAGCTCGAAATTGCGTCTGTACCAGACCAATACGCTCATCACATTCACAGAATAGCTCTGAAAATACACCTGAGATGGGCACATGTGCACTTCAGAGACCGACTGTAGGATCAGCGCATGAATTTTGGGTGGCTGGCATGCCGACATGAAGTTAACAACCGTAATAATCATCATCAATTCATAATAATGTGAATTAGACTAGACAAGCCTGGAAAATCTACTTGCGTTGCATAAATTTAATGAGGATCCGAGATTACAGTTGCTAACTTCAGTCTTCACGCAGGCGCACGCGCCCACCCAAAATCCACCATTAGTATGCACTTGTATTGTGCAGCATTTTGCTGTGACACCTGTGACAAGTGTGAGAAAGTGTATAGGCCTAACAAAGTCTTTGTTTTTAGGAAAAAAACTCAAATAAAGAAAAGAAAATTGACACAAAAACATCAAACAGGTAAGAAAGATATTGACTATTAAATCACGCGTTATTTGAACAATTGTGGAAGATATCTCGCCGAAGTCACAGGTCCAAATGGTCACAGTTGTGAACAAGCGCTGAAGCATTTTCCTAAAGTGGCAGCAACATGCAACAAGATCAAGTAGAGTCGAGAGTCTCGAGACCAACATGTCAAAGCAAACACAAAAGTCAACAGATGGGACTAAAAATAACAGGCGCCAAATAGAACTCGACACATTTCATGTCAAGTTTTTCGTTTCAAACGGCTTCATCAACAACAATATCATAGTAAGAAGCCAAGAAATTCATATTATAAAGTTCCCTTTTAAATTTAATTCGAAAGTCATCATTACACTGAGTAAATTATAAGAAATTCGTACTTACTTGAACAAACTAGCGCCATGTTGCAAGCGTGAGCATCAAGCGACTATTTGAATGTTGTCAAGAGATGGCGGGCTAGCGAGCGAGCAAACTTTGTTGACCTCCGTTACCGGTCATATTGACCGGTCAATATGCTTGGTCCGTCTTGTGAGGACTAGTACATTTGTGGACGAATAAACACACCCCAATTTCTTTTCAGATGTTAACTCATCATTTATTGACCAATATGTTTGAACAATATTTCAAATAAAGTGCGAAGTTCAAAATGTAGTTTTTCGCACAGCGACCTCACATGATCTTGGGCTCACTCGCAAATAAATATATTCATACCATCACACCCAACTACAAAGCATGATGCTTTAGCAGTATCTTGGACCATGTAAAGAGATACACAAACATTGAAACCATCCCTGATAATGTAATCACAGTGTAGGGGTAATACCGAAGTCTAAAAAGCATATTTCCACTTTAAAGTTTCCAGAAAGTGCCCCTTTTGCCCCCCCCCCCTCACATTTTGTAAGACGCTCTACCGCACCTGGATTATTATCATCTTCTTATATGCACACTCGTTTCCCCTCCTTCAAATGATCTCACCCCCTTTCATTAAAACATTCTCTCCATTTATCACCTTCTCATATTCTCGCAATCTTTATCTGAGTTTTCCTTTCAAATTCTATCACTGAATCATACATTTCTTTCATGACAAATTTCGCTCACTTTAAATCAATATCTTTTCACATTCTCTTACTCTTTATATCTTCCTTTCGAATTGTATTACTAATTTATACACCTCTTTCATTAAAGCTTCTCTCAATTTCTCTTCTCCATGCGTTCTTTTGTGCTGTGTATCTCTCTTCTTCTTACTGACACAAACACAATTGACAGTATAGAAATTGAAACTAAATCAATTCACGTCAAACAATCATTTAATCACTAAAGCTACTTTTTCGATGACATAAGAAAATTAAGCATCCTTTAAAGCGACAACACCCATTGTATCTAGTTTGCCTATTTACATCAGCTTTACTTAAAACAAATATAATAACTAATTTGGAAAATAATAGCAAAAGTAATTAGAATAATGCTAATGCTAATAATAATAAAAATAATAATGATAAATAAATAACAATAATAAAAAGAAAATGACAACATTAAAAATGATAATAGTCATAACAATAATTAATAACAATACTACTCATAAAGATGATAACACTAATGATAATAATATTTGTAACAATAATAATAAGAATAATAACACTATTGATACTATTATTATTACTGATAATAATAATACTAATCAATAATCTAATTTTTGAAGATAAATAGAGTTTAGAGAAATTTCAGTGAGACTACTATTAATTATATCCCCTTGTAAAATAAACTGTCTCGAAGTTCGCCCCATTAAAAACGAAACCCGAAAAACAAAAGGTGATTGTGAGCGAACTATGAGCTGTATACAAATAATTTCTTCCTTTTTATAGAGAAGGAGTAATATGTTTTTTTAATGATACATGTACTTTGATTAGTGCATTAATCCACACAGGCTTTACCGAGCAACATTGTTGCCATGTCAAAATCCATTTGTGCCAGATATTAGTAAAACAGTACAGTGTCTACGTTCGTATCACATGCGAAAAAATATAAGCGTTAAAGATACTATGTCCCTTTTGCAGCCAACATCAAATTCTGTAGAACTTTGCAAGAATTATGATTATATCATGTATAGGCCTATGTCCTATCTGTGAAATTTAAACGTTAGCAGTGTCCTAACATTCAAATTATGCAAGGAAACCCGTTTACTTGCTATATTTCATGTCAGACACTATTGAGTGACTGACTGACTTTTTCTCTTCTTTGGTAATAACATATGCCTTCATAAAATGAGCTTTAAAGGGTACATGCGCATTATTTTGTCTACATCAATAACCCACTTCTTGTAAGTGGCCAAAATTAAACTGATTGAATCTGTGCGCATATCAGACTATAACTTACTGACTTGGTAGCACTTAAGTCGATTTGACAACTCATAGTCGTTATTTTCCCACGTAAAGACATTTTAAAAAACCCCTTTTTTAGGGAAGTTTTAATTAGTATTATCTTTTAAATGCCGTTGGAATTTAACCTTTTCATTTTTTGACCTGCAAATGGGACATAGTACCTTTACAAGACAAGTATGCAATATTTCCATTGTGTGGTGATTAGCATTTTTCAAATAAGCAGTTACAACAAACAACAGGGGCGAATACCCATTTTCGGGATGACAGGAGCGTACCATAATTATAATCCAAAAATCAATGAATGCCCTCATGCAATGAAAAAGTGCCCCTTTACTGATTGAAAATGGTGCCCATCCTAAGAAGAAAACTACGCCGTTCCTGTGATTTATTCTATTCCTGATGTGCCCATTTGATTCTTGTTTTTGATATCGTCTAACTTGCTATTTTAAAAACTTCAGGCAGTTCTGAAAAAAGCAAAAGCACTGTTCATTACAATTGTAGACCCATTCAAGAACTATTATGCCCTTTTACCCTCACCATCGACAATATTTCCACGATGCAACATTTTATGATGAAGATGGTATTAACCTTTATCCTCATTATTAAAAAAAGCTCATTAAAATAATCTTATTATTCGCTTTCAAAACTTTGTGTTTCTTTCAGGTCATGTTCGTGTTTAATACAGTACTAACGGTCTCACTCATCACCCAAAGGGAGGGTTTTTAACTTGTCCCCATCCAAGTGTTCAGATGCAATTAGTGGTGCAACCAATTACTTTCCCATTTCTTTCTCGCATATGTATCTAATTTGGCTGGAGCAATCCATATCTTCCCAACCATGATTCTGTACTTCAATTCGAAAACAGTTTTCATTGTCATTGAACGAAATACTGTCAAAATTGCTATATGTAAGATTTGATCCGTCTAACCACCTTGCCTCACCGAGACTTGAGCCGGTCAGCCCGATCCAGTAGTCCTTCCAGGCACCAAATACGATAAACTTCTGTTCCGCTAGAGTCTCGATGAAGACCAGATGGGATCCGTATTGGGAACAAGCTGAAATCGCAGATGCATGATTCATCTCGCAAGTGCTGAAACTGTAGGCCGACCCGCCGTATTCATATGTCTCCGGAGGAGATGAGCATGCTTAAAATTGAAAAACAATATGTAAACTTATTTTTAAGAAAGTAGACAAAGTGATTATTTGGGCTGAAACAGAAATATTTAAAGTAAGAAAGATAATGATGATGATGAAAATGATAATGATATAAATGATGATGATGATAATAATAATAATAACAATAACAATAGCAAAATTTTGGCCAATTCACATGTGTTATTTCTTACAGGTTTGTGTTAATATGAAGGAGAGAGAGGTGGGGAAGGGGCAGGAGGGGGACAGGAGAGGAGAGAGAGAGGGAGCGAGAGAGAGAGAGAGAGAGAGAGAGAGAGAGAGAGAGAGAGACTAGAGAGAGAGAGAGAGAGAGAGAGAAAGAGGGGGGAGTGGTCAGATAGTGATAAAATGCATGACGTCATTTTTATCGTTTCTCTTACTTACTGGAGGGGGTGGTTTCTTGCGATGTCGTTGTGTCTGACATCGTGGTCGTAGGGTTCGTCGTGGGCTTGGTCGTCGCGTCTGTAGACGATGATTCTGTTGACTCTGAACAGTGTTTTAACAAACAAAGCAAGTTAAAATTTCATGACTTAATGGAGGGTTAACGGTTTTAATTAATGAAACCACACGTACAAAGCAATGATATTAGGAACGACACTTAGCAGGATAAGAAGGCTAATACGAAGAAAATTTAGCTCTATGAAAACATATATATTTAAATAGTTTAGTTCGTTTATAAGATTTGTGTCAGCATATTTTGTAGATTTATTTGCGATTTATCAAAGCAAAGTCATCTCAATGGGTTCCTGTGACGTGTTTGTTGTCATTAAACTTGTAGGCAAAAGAATAAGACTGGTATACTCCCCCCCCCCCCCTAACAAAAAAAAAGAAACGAAAGAGTCAGATAAAGAATGATAGCGTGAGAGAGAGAGAGAGAGAGAGAGAGAAACAGAGAGAGAGAGAGAAAGAGAGAGAGAGAGAGAGAGAGAGAGAGAGAGAGGGGGGGGGGGCAGTGAACTAGGGGAGGGAGAGAGAGAGAGGGGGCGGGGAGGGTAGTGCATAGACATTAAAATAATGATGAATGTATGACGCCATTTCATTACTGGAGGTGGTGGTTCCATGCAATGTCGTTGTATCTGACATTGTGATCGTAGGGTTCGTCGTGGGCTTGGTCGTCGCGTCCGTAGTCGATGATTCTGTTAACTCTGAAAAGTTTTCAACGAACATAACTGATTTAAATTTCATGATGTAATTGACGGTTCCGAGGGTTACTGTAACAGTTAAACAAAATATGTACCACACGTACAATACAACAATATTTGGAATGACACCTAATCAGGATTAGCAGGCCAAGACGAAGAAAATTTCGATCCATGAAAACATATACAATTGCATGGTTTATATCTTTTATAAGGCTTTATTTGAGTCAGCAAATTTGTAGATTAAGTGGAGTTTTGTCAAACTCGTGGGCAAAAAATTAGACGGTCACCTCCCCCTTAACAATATTATAGTGCCTTCCGTGAAAGGAAAGGACATAGAAAAATGAGTCAGATAAAGACTGAGAGAGTTAGAGAGAGAAAGAGAGAGAGAGAGAGAGAGAGAGAGAGAGAGAGAGAGAGAGAGAGAGAGAGAAAGAGGAGGAGGAGGAGGAGGGCAATTATTTTAATAATCAAATTCATGACGCCATTTAAGTGTTTCTATTGCCTACCTCTGATTGCGGTTTTTCGCGATTTAATTGCGTGTGGTTGTGCCGACATCGTGGTCACAAGGCTCGTCGCTGGTTTGGTCGTCGCTTCCGTTGTCACCGACTCTGAAAGGAAAAAAAAAGAGCCGGAGTCAGAGGAATATTGGGAAGCAGACATACAGAGACAAAGAGCATGGCAAAAAGAAGAATGAGAAGAAAAAGAAGTAGAAGAAGAAGAAGAAGAAGAAGAAGAAGAAGAAGAAGAAGAAGAAGAAGAAGAAGAAGAAGAAGAAGAGAAGAGAGGGGGGGGGGGAGAGAGAGAAGGTTAGTGGCTAAACACATTTCACGATTATGTTAAAGTTCAAATGCATGATGTAGTGGCATTTTGTTAATTTAAACGTATATTTGCTGTAACTCGATTCTTGTCGTTAAACTAGTAAGAACAAAAAAAATAGACGAGCACTACCCCCCCCCCTCCCCCCCATAAAGTGGTTCGACAGTCAAGGACCAAAAAAAGGGTAGTGATCACTTTTTTTTGGGGGGGGGGGGGAGGGGGTAGTGAGCATTTTTTTTGGGGGGGGGGGGGGGCGGGGGGCACGTGTCCCCTGTGCCCCCTAGATCCGCCACTGTGGCTAGTCCCGTTATGATAATGATCAAATGCATGACGTAAATTCCATGTTTCTATTGCTTAGACATACCCGATGTAGTGGTGTTTTGAGTAGTCGTTGCGTCTGAGCGTTCCGACATTGTGGTCGTATGGCTCGTCGTGTGCTTGGTCGTCGTTTCAGTCGTCGACACTGTGACTTCTGCAAAAAAAACGTGATAGAGGTAAATAACGATGCATCCTCTGAAATTATTTTATCCCGCCGGCTGTCTCCAGGAGCTCTTGCTCAGGGTACGGGGATAGAATCAAAGGGGTGGGGGTGGGGAGGGGGGGGGGGTAATAAATAGAAATCTTTTATCCAAATTCTATCAACAAGTTCCGAAAAAGGACCGCGGAATATTTTCTTCTTATTCATGATCTTTTTCTTCTTCTTCATTTGCAACTACGGATTTTTCGTTTACCCCCAGTAGAATGTCAATTTATGCTCTTTAGTTCAATAATTGGTCACCCCTCCTCTTGATAGGCCTTATAACACCTACCTTCATCGCAGTGTCGCCCTTGAAACCCACTTGAGCAGTGACAGTTGTAGCCTACCGTAGTCTTTTCACACCAGCCGTTTTTGCCACAATCTGCGAAATAAGTAATAAACGGGATAAAACTCGATACTGACAAACAGATTATGATTACATTCTGTCGTGATTGATGTGAAAATATACATATAAAAGATAAACAAGACTAAACTAATAAATGACAATGCATTTTTTTTACCAGGATTTAATTAAATATATCAAAGGCCATGAAAACCATACTCCAGCGGCCATCGGAGACCCCTTTAGTGTCCCTTTATAAAGGGACACTAGACCCCTTCATGTCAGTGCTCCCTCTACAGTTCACTGTTTTGCCTGGTGGTTTTCACTGCCCTTGCCGACCAAATATGATCTGTATCTTTATTGATTGATTAGTGAATAACAAATGAATTTGACATTTGAGAACAAAAATGAATATAAAAAAAGCATGATACAGACCCGGGATTCTGCATATTGTTGGATGTTTGCCATGAAGTTTTCCAGCGATGACAGAAGGGGGAGAGAAGAGTTTCGGGACAGTCTGCAACATGGTGCCATTGGGTAGTCGCACCATCTTACACTGATAGGACACCGACGAGGGGCTTTGCAGGCTTAAGTCATCTGGACAAGATGTTTTCGTCAGCTTGGACAAATCCGATAAAGCAGGCAAGGCTGTGTGGAATAAAACAATCAGGACATCTTTAGTGAGTTCTTTCTCCTACTTCTCTTCCTTCTCCTCCTCCCATCCCGTTTCTCATCATCCCCTCTTCCTCCCTCGCCTCCCATCCTCCTTCTCCACGTCCTCCCATTCCTCCTCTTCTACCTCCTCCACCTTCCCCTTTCTTATCTTCCTCCCCTCCGCTTCCCTGCCTCCCCTCATTCTCCTCATCTTCCTCCCCTTCTACCTGCTTCCTTCACCCTTCTTCATCATCACCCCTCCTCTTCCCTGCCTCCCCTCATTCTCCTCATCTTCCTCCCCTTCTACCTGCTTCCTTCACCCTTCTACATCACCATCCCCTCCTCCTATAATAAAACAAACAGAAAATCATAAGTGAAGTCTTCTTACTTACTCACTTCGATGTGGAGGCATAAAGATATCCTTATTTGCCCTTCCAGGTAATGCTAGTTCTCTGGTATGTACTTACGGGGGTGGCTGTACCGATATTTCCCAAGGATGGATTTGAACTGGTTTACACTTTTTGCACTGACTGCAGAGTCTGGTAAAGAATTCCAGTTGTTGCAACTTCACACTCCTCTTCCTCCTCCTCCTGCTCCCCTTCCCTTTCTCATCCTCACCTCTTCCTCCCTCGCCTCCCCTCATCCTCCCTCTCATCCTCCTGTTCTACCTCCTCCCCTCCTCTTCCCTGCCTCCCCTCATCCTCCCTCTCATCCTCCTCTTCTACCTCCTCCCCTCACCCTTCATCATTATCCCTCGTTCTCCTCGTCATCCAGCTCATTGTCCTCCTCCTCCTCCTCCTCTTCCTCCTCCTCCTCCTTGTCCTTCTCGTCCTACAAATGCTTTTCGTTCTCATCGTCCTTCCCCATCTCTCTCCTCCTCTTGTCCCTTCTTCTCCACCTCAATCTCCTCCGCCTCTTCCTCCTTTCCTCTCCCTTCTCTCAATTCTCCTCCTCCTCTTCCTCCTCCTTACCTATCCCTTCGTTTCCTCCTCCTCCCCGTCCCCTACTCCTCTTCGTCCTTATCCTACTCTCATCATCCCTCCTTCCTCTCCCCCTTCCCCCTCCCCCATTCATCCTTATAACCCTCTCCTCTTCCTCCTGATCTTCTTCTTCCTCCTTCTTCTTCCTCCTCCTCCCCTTCCTTCTCATCCTCCCCTTCATCTCCCTTCTCCTCACCGTTCTTCCTTTTCCCTACCGCTTAGGAATGAAAATTCCCTTAAAATAGTTTGAAACATATTAGGGAGAATTTGTATTTTTGTAGTTTTATATGAGATGCCACGTACGTTTTTCTTCTCGCTCCTATTTCGCTTCATTATGGTTATATCTTTCAGCAGCATTCGTAAAAATCATAAAAATATGACGGGATATGCGAAGTCAAAATTTTTCTTACCAAAGGACAAACAGGTTACGGTACCAAACAGCAACTTCCACAATACACCGACATTTTGGTCTTTAGCCTATATTAAGAAAAATATATTAACAATAATTTTTAAAAATATTTTCTACAAGAACAAGAGCAAGAACAGAAATAACAACAGGAAAAAAAGATGATTATAATGGCTAATGATGCTAATGATATTATTGGTAATGGTGATAATGACAACTATAATAATAGTGATGATGATGATTATAATCATAGAAATTTGATAAGAGCAATTACCGTCACATGTATAGCTCATACCACTAACGTTACACAATTCTTAAGACTATGACTAGTTTGTATATGGATTGAATCATATATTGCTAACAGACAACAAGAAATAATACTAGATGATGTAATATCTATAAAACATTTTCATGTTCCATATGGGGTTCCTCAAGGGTCACGTCTCGGACCCCTTCTTTTTACACTCTATACAAGTAATCTGATCGACATCATTCAACGGCGTTTCCCAAATGTTTCTTGTCATTGGTATTGGAACATCAATATGATAATATCTTAATTATAGAATTATGTATACAATATACCCGTGCTCGGATGTTTCAACATAATTAAGCCAATGCTTAGTGATGGAAAAACAGACGTTCTCATTGTTGGGACATCCAGACAAGTTGTAAAGCTAAATATTAATCATAGAACAATTGGAGACTCAGAAATAAGACCGTCAAGCTCTGAGAGAAGTCTGGGTGTATATTTAAAATAAAAATGTTAAAGTAAACAATCATAAACATTGATAAAATTACACATGTAATACGAGATGATTGTTAGAAAAGAAAAGAATCATCAGAAAAAACGAAGTAATTCCAATGAATAAAGTGTTAAGTCGGATGCTCAAAATGAAGTCGAATGTATAAAGGGCAGGATTACGTAACCATGTCATTCTAAAATATATGCACGCTTGACGAAAAGGGTATTTACATGACTCATGAATTTGAATGAGAAACATGTTCATGTGAATCAAACGCGAATTTAAATACACAGATCATGAATGTGAACTTTCAAATAGCAAGACTTGGACAATTCAATTTCGATGGAATGGATTAGAAAAGTTGCAAAATTGGCCGGGAAAGTTATACTCTCTCTTTTCTTCAGTACTTTTTAATTTTCTTATTTTTTCCTGTTTTTATTATTTTTCTCCTCCTTTCTTTACCTTTTTTTAAAAATCATGTTCTGTATGTATAGTATATATTATCATTATCATATTATTATTATCAATATGTTATGCTTTTAGTTATCGTTTATTAAATTCATTATGTATAAAGGTAAAGAATTATTATCTAAAACAAAAACAAAAAATACCCCTCCTCCCAAAAAACCCTCTCCCACCCTCCCCCCCCCCCCCCCCACTAAAAGATAGAAAAAACAACAACTTATATTTGTCATTTCCAGAAAAAAAACAATGCAACAATGAAAATAATTTGAGAAACTCAATTAAATAATACTATCAAACGATCAAAATCCTCTAAAAATTTAACAATTTTTTATCAATTATTTTTATGGAATTTTCCCAAAAGACCAGTTCGTAGTTAGCACATGATAAAAATAATGTGTATCGAATGTTCACTACCAAGACTCCAGTCTAACTCAAGCTTTTGCTTTCTTTGGCAGAAGTCGCATGTACAATTATATTTCTGAACCACACAGCAATTATTCATTAAGTCATGAGTCACTCTCCTTTTCATCACACAAACATTGTTTTTTCTATGTAGCATGCCCCTCTGTTTAAGTCACTAATGATATGTTCAATTTCATTTTTTTTCCTATTATCTTTTTCTTCTTTGTTGTACACATTACATTGTATCATTTCCAAGTATATCATGTATATGTTTATATATGAAACGGACAAGTAAAAAGGCAATGAATTAAAATCAGACTCATGGTGCCCACTTCAGTACGATTGAGAAAAAACCTAAAATACTTACCATTTTACAGATCAATATTCAAGGGCTTCCAAAAATGATCAAACAGCACGATGATAACCTGACGTCTTTCTCGGATAAAAAAAAGTATCAAATTCGGAAACGAAGATTACAGAAAGGCTGGAAATATTAATCGTAAGATGCAAACTGTAGGCTATGTAGCTGTCGATCGACGGAGATCAATTTAAAGCGCAGGAGACATGACTTGATGTCTTCTTTCGACCAATTGTAAATGGCAAATGTTACGTTTTTCTTTCTCTGCAGGCGGTATAAGCTCGTATGAGAACGGGATCGATATGCAAAGACAGATTCGAAAGGAAATACTGCCAACTGGTAGATCAAAATTATGACGACGACCTTTTTTTCTGGATTCACTACAGTTCATTCGAATTTTCAAAATGAAAAAGGGTCAACTACTCTCAACGATGTTTGCAATTGTGAAAATTAAAAATTCTGTCTTCTTTTAGGAAGAAAGAATCCTATTTCATCTTTCGACTTGTCTCTTTGAAATGATGTGCATTCGGAGAAATGAACCTCGGAATTACGAACTGTCGGAATAAAGAATCTTTGTGATTAATACACCTGGGGAATTATGAACCTTTGGAATTATGTATCTTCGAAATTTTGAACTTTTAGAATTATAAACCTTCGACGAAAGACAAAATAAACTCGGTTTATTAGGTGAATTGTCTGACAAGGTTACATTCAGCCTAACCAAATTGATGCGTAATTTTGAACATCATTTTTGTCACTATTATTTTCCCGACCCAAACTTTCTTCAATATAATAAAAAAAACAAATAATTATCGTGCTCACAAGAAGACTAATTGTAATGACATTTCCATTCTACACCTTCATTTTTTTTAATTTTGATAATTTTATTGGTCAGAAAACACAATGATTTACAGAATATGCGTTACATTTTATTGCAGTGAATTAATTTAATTGTCCAATTGTTTTACTCTTACAATCATATTGTTTTACATCAAATACACTACAACATGAAAATAACATTTTGTATCTTC